CTATTTATAAAAAAAAAACTTATAAGAGTTTTAAATAATCATGATTTGCAGTACTATTTTTCCATTCAAAACCTTGATAAACAACAAAACACTAAAAATACTATTGCAACCAGTGTTCTTGACACACGTCAATACAAGAAAATTATTAATATAAAAAAATATGTATGAAAACTTACCAGTTCAAGAGGAAAAAAATGGTGTTTGATTGAGAAAAAGAGAGAAAGAACGTTTTTAGTTATAAGATAAAAAGGCACACCCAAAGCAAAGAAGCAATAATTTATTATTTGATAACTTATCAAATAAGTCTGAAAGTTGTTAAAAGTTTCCTGAAGATCTGATTCGTTCAAACCTCTTTAGATCTATTAAAAGGTTTTTTAAAAAATAAACAAATGAACTTAATGGGGGAATCTGAATGATTCAGATTCAGACCTAAAAATCAAATGTACTTAATGGGCTGAATCTAAATGATTAAGACTCGAACCTCCATTAATTGCAAATAAACGAGGTCTAACTAATGTGAGTCTCTAAAATAGTTATTATAATCTAGAAATACTCGTATCTTTTCCAAAAAATTTATGTAAGATTTATCATACACTATTATGACATTTATTTTCCTTATGGCATTTCTGTTAGATTTGGCTAACAATAAGAATATTTTTACGTCAGAAAACATAAAAAAATATAATTATTTTATTTGAATAGTTGAAGAGTAAATTTGAATGATGCGGCTAACAAAGTAATATTTCTATAACAAAAAGTCAAAAGAGATGATATAAAATATTATTCTATCATATATTTATAATTTATATAAATGAACCCTAGACTCGTCTATGTGATGCTATTATAAATAAATTTTTTCTTTTTTCTCATGAAAAAATAAACTTTTATTAAAAGTTGTGACTTTAATGAAGAATGTGACTTTTATTAAAAAAATGTGATTTTTTATCAAAAGTTGTGACTTTTATGAAAAATTGTAACTTTACTAAAAAGTTGTGACTTTTACCAAAGGTTGTGACTTTAATGAAGAGTTGCGACTTTATGAAAAGTTGCGATTTTTATGAAAATTTGTGAATTTTTAAAGGGTTACAACTTATTCGAATAGTTAAAACCTTTCTGGCACAATAAACATTTAGTCACACTATCCTTTGTTGTCTATAAATAAATGGATTCTCTCTCATTTTAAAACAACAAAAACTTTGATCTTCTTTTTGTACTTCCGCAAAATTAAATATTTGTGTATTTTTCTCATGTTGAGTGACTTACTAACATCACTGTTTTTGTATCAATAAGTTGGTGCATATAATCGTTCGATCCTGAGAGGATATATTCTTTAAACCTTTGGTATTGGAGGGGAATAGTTTTATTAAGGGGACATTGTGCATTCAATGTATTTGATATTTTTCATTCTATTTTATTTTATTTTTACATATCTTGGTATGTTTTTTTGTACTCATTAATTTATGCTTATGATATTAATTGTTGTTTCTAAGTACATGTTTTAAACTTTGTTGTTTATATTTCTACAAAGTTATTATCTCTGATTATATTGAACAAATACACATATAGTAGATATATTCATTATGAAGAAAATAATTATTGTATTCAATTCCAAGAATTCATATTTTGATTCTTTTATATTAAATAATTAAAAGTACTATATATAACCTAAAATATTATTTATTTTTACATAGATATGAAATTTCTCACTTATCAATTAAAGCAATTTATTATCAGGTTTAAAAGTTATGATTGTGTTCAAAACGTAATTTCTTTTTTGAATATGTTAATAAATTTTTGAATTTTCTCCTAAGACATATATGACAATTGTATCATCTATGCAACTTAAATGTTTTTTTTATTATGAAATGCCTTTGTATATACAGAAAAGTGTTGGGCTATTGCCCATGTTCTAGCCAAAGGCCAATGGCCTAATCCTACTTGAAAAAGTATTGGAATTGTTCTCTTTATTTGGTTTCCAATTCTATTAGGAAAAGGATTGGAATTGTAATCCTATTTGTAGTTGGTTTTGGCTTTGTAAGGAAAAGCAAAATTCTATAATTAGAGAATGGTCTTGAGATAATAATTAATTGCTCATTGGTATTGTCTTTGAAAGACATTAGAACATAAGAGAGGTTTTTTAGAGAGCTTTCAACAAGAGAAAAGAGAGAAAGAAAAGGATTTTTTTGCTGCAGTTTTTTTCTCCGACCAACAACATTCAGAAAGATCCTGTTTTAGGTCTCGAACAGAAGCTGAGTTTGATTGGTGTTTCTTTCGATTTATCTTTTGTTGGTGTAGCTATTGTTTGTTCTCTTTTGGCACTTGTTATGTAGCCATCAATAGAATATTTGTAACCCTCTTATTGGTATTGTGAAGCAATTTGGATCTTGTCGATCCTGTGGTGTTTACCTTCGATTTGAAGGGTTTTTCCACGTTAAACTTGGTGTTCTTTATTGTTAGATTTTCGGTTTCATCTTTTCGTCACAACAACTGGTATCAGAGCCAAATTCAATGATGGATTCAAGTTTAGTGGTTCGATGATCGATGATTGAACCAAGTTAGAAGGAGGTGTTTATCTTGACGGGTGTAGTTTTAGTTGTAACCTTTTTGACAGTAATGAAGATTTGTTGGAGAAATTGTTTTCTCCTAAGACATATATGAAAATTGTATAATCTATGCAACTTAAATGTTTTTTTATTACGAAATGCCTTTGTATATACGGAAAAGGGCCTAAAATACCCTTGAAGTATTGAAAATGGTACAAAATTACCCTTCATCCACCTATTGGCTTCAAAATGCCCTTTCATCTACCTATTGGGTCCAAAATACCTTTGTCATCCATCTTTGGGTTCAAAATTGACCACTTCTTTAATTGTTTTAAAATTAAATTCCTTAAAAACTTTTTAAAATACTTGGCGTTAAACTTTTGGTTATAATTTAATTTATTAATATAATTTATAAACCAACCCACTACTCACTCATTACTAACTAAACCCCACCCAAGTAATAATCCAACTATAATATAAAAATCGTCATAAACACTAATAAAGCACAATGAAATTATATATTCTTGAAAATGACATCTAAAATTATTCGAGTCCAAATCGAAGCCCCAATTAAATTTAGATTGAATCACTTATTTAGGAGGACACTTTCAATAGGATTGATTGAATCTAGAAATTTATGATTAAAGGTAAAGAAGTAATACATTCCGAATTTATTCATGCACTTTTTAAAAATATAATTTTATAAATACTTATAATTTGTTTTAAAACCTTTATTATATTATTTTGAAAAAAAGTTACCAATGAAGTAACATCACATAATTGAGACGTAAGAATAATTAATATGAACATAGTCTGACTTTTAAGTTTATCGATAATTTTTATTTACACACTTGAATGTATGATAATTTACTTCTATAGATATTTTCACCTCAAATTTTAAAAAAAAATCAATTGGCAGTAAATTTTATTTTGTTGCATTAATAATGTGACGGATTTATTAATTTGGATGGGTTTAATTAGTTTTGGGTGGGTAGTGGATTGAGTTATAAATTATACTAATAAATTAAATTATAACAAATAGTTGAACGCCACATATTTTAAAAAATATTTAAATAGTTTAAACATAAAACCGTTAAATAAGTGGTTAATTTTGAGCCAATAAGTGGATGACAAGGGTATTTTGGGTCCAATAGGTGGGTGGAAAGAGTATTTTGGAGCCAATGGTGGATGGAGGATAATTTTATACCATTTCTAATACTTTGAGGGTATTTTAGGCCATTTTCCGTTGTGTGTGTGTGTGTGTGTGTGTATATATATATATATATTCTTA